TTGTATTGTATTGTATTGTATAGGTACATGAGATTTGTGTTTGACGAGTCTATCAGGTGCTCTGTGTTGGCGTCGTATACAGCTAGGGTCAATATGCATGCAGACATGGTGGTACAGGGCTATACCATTCCAAAAGGGGTAAGTATTTCAATACCACTGTCATTGGTATTTATATTCACGAGTATGAAGTGCGTCACAATTCAACGACGGTTCTTATTAGATTATTCTATTTTTTAGTTTCTGCGATGGTGTCGTTTATTTATTTTGACCATCTATTTTCCTACATTCGTGTTCTGAATTCTGTGAATCCCTTCAATAATTATGAATTTTGATTTATATTTTACACAACAATGCTCATTTCAAATTGATATTATAAACATACGTTTTATTTCTGATAACATTCTTATTATATGTCTAGACACCTATGGTGCTTGCATTGGGTGTTGTACAAACGGATGACAAAATATGGTCTGAGCCTGAAAGGTATACGATATATTGATTGAATAATATATTATAGAGTGTCTACAATCAACTTGACAACATTGCAAATTGCCAACAAGCATATTTAATCGCCCATGCTGTTAATACTCTTAAATGTTATAATACGATAGGGAATCAAATGTTTGTTGGTATGTGTGAACCTAATGGCTTCATTTAGGCAACAAAACGTGATATTATTAAATGCACAAATGAAATGTTTCAGTTGACCATTGTCTTACAAAATTAATATTTGGTAATGTTGTATTTTAAATGTTCTGATTGTATATCCTATTTATGACTATTAATCATTGATGCACACAATGGTGTGGATGCGCACCATAATACCATACGATATAATATAGTGTATCTTTATTTTTTTCTCAGATTCATTCCAGAACGATTTTTGCCTGAAAATGCCAGTACTCGTCACCCGTTTTCATTTCAACCATTCGGGTTTGCTGGAAAACGAAAATGCCCTGGATATCGTACTGTCTACTCAGAGGGTGCTGTATTCTTAGCTACATTGTGTAGAAAGTTTAAATTTCGAATGGTGGAAGGTCAGACCATTGACAGGAAATATGGTTTCGTTACCATACCGAGTAACGATATTTGGGTTACAGTTACAAAAAGAGACTGATTATGTAAACATGTTGAATTAACTGTTTATATAATATAATAGTCTGTTGATATATATATATTATATAATTGTCTTCAAGCTTCACACGTTTTATATATTCCAGAATGATATATACACATTGCCTTAAGTGGTTATTCCTTTTATAACTGATATACTATTTAGTTTATTTAGTACACGTCAAGTTATTTGATAGTGATTTGATGTCTATTTTAAAATAGTTCTTTAGGTATACCTAGCTTTTAACAGTCTCAACATTTCGTACTACAAACTTCTGTATGATGTTTGCCAGAAACAGTTTGTTGTGTACAACAAATAAATAAACACATGACGTTTACTGTATATGACTGATATGCATGACAACCGATGTACTACAGAGTGGACTACAGCGATGATGTATCCAAAGGTGGGATACATGGAAAGGCACGAATAAGTTGACATGACTCGCATTTACTGGTTCATGATTATATATCATGCGAAACTGATATCGCTTATTGTGTAGATAATTGGATGGTATAATGCTATGCCTTCTTCAAAGCTAATTGATTTACAAATTCTCCGACCTGTGACCATAACCTCCTCTCAAAATTATACACTCACTAATTGAAAATATCATTCAAGCTGGTGTAGCACTAACGTTTCTAAAAAAAAGCGGAATTGTTGTGTATTGTATATATAATGAAGGATGAGTGCTAAGAAATGACAAAATGTATTGAAAGTGTGTCGGTGAAAATCAATACAAGGACCAATGCGATTGGTATGTGATGTAGATATAGGGGCCTGTATACATCGTCTTCCTCTCTCCCAAAGCTAATGGACGCCCTTTTACTTTCAATTTGAAAGATGGGTTTTTGGACATCCCACGGAGTAATTGCACAACCTATGGTCATAATCTTAACTTGTATGATATTTCTATGGATGAAGAAGGTTAGAGTACCATCCTACACGAGATTTGGTCCGAAGCAGAAAACATACCAACACCACCATTTCAAAACATATTCCCTAAAACATTAACGCCAAGACAGAGAAGAGGGACGAATTGCTATGCTAAATGGTTTGAACGCAACAAGGGACCTGACAAATATCGGTCAAAAGTGATAACTTGGTTACAACAGTTCTATCACCTTCACCGCAAGGTGGCGATAAAAGAGGTCATTGTAGGCTATTGTTTATCCCCGGACAAACCAAGGGACAAATGCTTTAAGGTGTATAAACTTGCTGATAGCCACACAAGTTATGTGGCAAGCTATTCATGACTAGCACAGAAATTCATGAGATAGTTATGGTGGATGTATCCAGAACAACCGTAATACGAGAGAGTGAGATAATACCAAAAAAGGCTTCCCTGCTCATAAATCCTCATAGGAATCTTGCAAGGGATACCATAAGTAATTCAAGTCCAGGGAGATTTAGATGTCGCAACACATTTCAATACACTGGAGCTGTTTTTCAAGTGGTTTAAAGGGCTCATACCACTAATTGAAACTTCATAGACAACTATGTTAACATATGACGAGATTGCTATATGAAAATGCTAAACAAAGTTGCAAACATGGCTCAAAAATGGGAGATCAACATGCCAGTAATCAACCACAATGACAAAAAATAACATGTTGGCCAGCTCGAACTCTTGCAAATCCCAGGTAAACAGGACACGGCTACTGTATTTGAATTGCACCTAGAGAAATCACTGGAAAAACACCAAGATTAGAACATAAAAATACACACAGAATATACAGGTACACAGCCGCCAAGTAGTAAACAAAAGACAACATGTTGGCCTCACCTTTTACGCAGGTGATCACGCCCTCGGACAGGGAGCGCCTGGGAAAATTTTAGAAAAAATGTATTTGGTTCTTGCAAGACTAAGCAGCCATTGGTTGATTAGTGGCATGAGATCTAAAGATAACAATGCAAGAATCAGCTGGTACATGTACCTATTGGAAATTATAAAAAAACACATGCGGGTTGTTGATCATCCTTTTTATCTCACCGCCAAACCCTACCTTTTGGACGATGTGATTTAGATTATCCATGAGGAGCTGTTGGATTAGATGATGTGCACTAATTGGTTGTACACTGACGAACCCATCTTGAGCACAATATTTATATTAACAGGGATGGGTGAGGTTAAGTATATTATAGGATGTAATAATATATGTAATTTAATTGAAATTACATCAAAGCATCATTGTGTGATTAGTATCGAAAATACTAAAAAATATATATATACATTGTTATCACTTTTCAAAGTCTGACTGCAAGGAATGGTGGGAAGCAAAGTCTTTAGCCAACCTCAGTTCGTATACACATTTCAAGGTTCAAATCAAGATAAGCGTTAAAACAGACAACTTGTATACATTCCAAAAGAAAATATTGAACAGACAAGATGAATTACAATGCATAAATACAAGACAGCCTGTAGCCAGAACTAACATAAGACACAGGGTGCAATAATAACAACTGTGACAGGAAAGTGGGAGTGTTTTTTTTTTCGAGGATCATTTATTTAAAAGTATTTTGACAAACTGGCAATAAATTATGTCGATGGGAAATCCCGAAGGTACGATACAGTTTTAATTCACCAGATTTTTTAGGAGAGGCCCAGCAGTGAACTCTTTTTTTTCCAGGTGTGTGCTTTGTGCATCACTTTATATACAGGTAAGCGAGAAGGGGAGATTCCAAATTTTCAGACACCTCCTCCCGCTCGTATGTGGTTTGATCATGTTTGCAGCAGCAGGAATCGTAGTGAAATGATTATATGACTGTCACTTAACATGCGTTACTTGTATATCAACACGGCTTTTATTCCTGATAATTTCAGTGCAGGTATCCTTGACAATAGGAAATGTCGAATAATACACATTTTACAGTCACTTGGGGCGCCTCACATACTCGTTGATTTAGGCAGAGGGTTCCCAGAACCCGCCTATTCACATAGTTCATACCCACCATAGACTTCGGTCAGTCAAAATGACTATTTTGAACTGTAGGCATTAATCTGCGATTCAGCCAAAGGCGAAGAAATAAATCTAGGTCAGGGGAAGCTCCATAATTTCCAGATTTTTCTTCACGTCACGAACCACGTGCCTAAGGCCAAGAGGCACAGCCATATTGGCCTACTCGTCACTCTGGTTCTTTTTTTCTCCGCGCCGAAGACAAAGCCAATCGTACAGAAAAAGTGGGGTGGTTGGTGGGACCCAGAGTCTATGGTGGGTGGTGGTGAAAAGGGTGTCCTAGTCCAAGATAATGGTCTCCAGTAATAGACTACCACCTAGTTAAGACCAATGCAGAAAATGGTGTCTTACCTTCCCTGTGGCATCTCCGGTGAAAAAGCCAAAATGCTGCC